TATTATTTTGGTTGTAAATTCGTCGATTTAACACTAAGATCAATTATTTCAATCAATAACTAAGATCAATTATTTCAATCAATAATTGATTGTAGCAGGGTGAAAAAGCTTGAAAAATGATGAAAAACGAATCAAAATCTAACTCGTGACTCATAGATTCATTTATGCATCAAATAAGGGTCTTCTATGTCAAATAACAGTCTCCTATAACATGCTATAACAGAAACCGGTCCGATTAGCCTTAAACCATGTGGTTAATTAGAACTCCGACTGGTTCGTGGTTAGGGGGAGGGAGGTCTACCTTCCTACTAGCTTCTCAAAGCTGGGTTTAATCGTGGCCGGTAAGGTTTCGATTCCGATCTAACTGGCCTGTTCAAGTTAGAACCAGCCAAATTGTCGAACAGTGCTACATAGTCGAATAAAGATATCAAATGTCCAAAAATATTGAGTACAATGAAACAAATACTTATGTATAAATACCTTAATGTATGACCCAAAAAATAGAGGATATCCATATAGATCCTAAAAAACAAAAAAGAAAGGATATCTACCTTAATGTTTTCGTTATTACACCTGAAAATTTTTATTATTACACATATATCTGTTTTTTCAAAGGAGACACTCCCATTTTGGTTTTTTAAAAAATCTAAATGGGACTTTGGGTTCCTTAAAATCTGTTCTTTTCCCCTGTTTTCGTGATTTTTGTAGAACCATCAGCGGTGAGGGCCTCGACCGGCAAAAATGCTGAGATTGCCTCTCTTGAAGTAGTTGTCGCCGGGTTCCATGAGCCCACCTCATGACTCGATGTTCGGAATGGATGTAGTTTCGTTCCACGGGTCGCTTAGCTCAAGACTTATGATGAAGTTAGTGCCGCCCTTTAAGATTGTGCTCGTTCTCACAGTGACCACATACACAGTCGTCATACAATAAGAAAAAAATGGAAATGGAGATTGGTATGAGATTTAGGGCTTTCTTTTCAGGCAGATTTTTATCTTATGGTTTTGATGGTCAGGAGTTTTTGGTTTGGCTTTTTTTTTTTTGATGCATAGTTAGGGAGAGAATGCGGATTGAGGAAGGTTGGAATTGAAGCAGATTTATATGGAACGGAGTGGATCTGTCCATTGCTTAGCCAGTGAAAGCAATGAGGTTGTTGATTTACTTATAGGAGACTGTGAGAGCTGAGGAGGAGAAGGCGAGGAGAGCTAATAGGAGGCCAAGATTGTTGACTTTAGCCATTTTTCGACTGATATGTGAGAGAGAGAGAGAGAGAGAGAGAGAGAGAGAGAGAGAGAGGAGGTAGTTAGTTAGTAGAGAAGGAAGGAGAGTCGCGTACTACTTACTACTAGTACGGACGGAACGGAACGAAACGTAAAGTAACGTAACGTAAAGTTAAAGTTTTAACGTTTAAA